GGAACGTCTCGTCCCCAACATATCATCCACTAGGAACGTCTCGTCCCCAACATATCATCCACTAGGAACGTCTCGTCCCCAACATATCATCCACTAGGAACGTCTCGTCCCCAACATATCATCCACTAGGAACGTCTCGTCCCCAACATATCATCCACTAGGAACGTCTCGTCCCCAACATATCATCCACTAGGAACGTCTCGTCCCCAACTTATCATCCACTAGGAACGTCTCGTCCCCAACATATCATCCACTAGGAGCGTCTCATCCTAAACGTATCATCAACTAGGAACGCCTCGTCCCTAACATATCATCCACTAGGAACGTCTCGTCCCCAACTTATCATCCACTAGGAACGTCTCGTCCCCAACATATCATCCACTAGGAGCGTCTAATCCCAACGAATCATTCAGTATAGGAACATCAAATCCTCGACGTATCATTCTTAACCTATCGTCCATTAGAAACCACCCGGGTTTCCGAATGGTTCTTGATGACCCGAACACTGCAGTCTTGGTCGAGTGATTTAGCACGCACCCGGTCTAGGTTGACTTATTGGCCACCAGATCTTTTTTGAATGATTAAACACCCGGTCTTGATTGACCGATTTAGCACTCGGTCTTTTGTTGAATAATCTACTAAGCTGTTTTGGTTGAATATTGACTAGTCGAGCACCCGGTTTTGGTTTAATGATCGGCCACCCAGTTTGGATGAATGATGGAGCACCTGACCATCCGGTCTTGGTTGAGTGATGGAGCACTCGGTTGTGGCTGAGATACCACCCCGCGGTTGGTGTTAGGTTCGCGGATATGAGAGGTGGCTGCTCGATCATTAATATGCCTCATGAATCATTCTTGCTGCTTTAAGCGCGTCTTACTTCTGTTCGGTGATCGTGATTGCGCATAAGGCTTGCAGCACTCATGTCTTAAACTGTCAATTTTTAATTAAGAGGATTATTTGAGCCATTAACAATCTTTTTAAAGTAGTGGTATGGTCGATTATAATTTATCTCTAATTTCATATTGCAGTTGTCGGCTGTATTCGATGATGTAATAAATGTTATAAGTGCTCCATAATATCTGAAACATTCACTATCGTGCACCTTGTAAATGTAATAGTCTTATGCGAATGAACTATGGGGCCGCACAAGCCAACATAGAATGCTTGATTTGTAGCTGTACTGTCGCCTAAACTATGGCTGCGAACAGCGATCCTGACGGTCAAACCACCGCTTACCTTGTACCTCCCGCCATCTCTGAAGATATCGACTCAGACAACGACTACCAACGATATTCGTTGACGATTGCCGGCAGTGCAGGAGCAACCAAGAGTGCACTCAGTCGGAAACGATCGTGCAAACGACCTGCGCCTCCTCCACCTTCTACCACTTCTACGTCCACGCTGCCATCTTTATCTTCTACTACTTCTACCTCCACGCTTTTCTCTACATCTTCCACTACTTCACTACCACGCACTCTTTCGCCATCGTTGCTCCCTACGATGAACACTTCAGCTCAATCTATTCCTGTTCACCAGTTGCCTGGGTCAGAAGGGTCAGTGGACGCGGTCATTGGAACACAAGCAAGCGAGTTGCACGCTCCCCCCGAGGTGCCCGTGAGGTCTCAGGCGTCTGTACAGGCCACCAAGAAGCTCATTACAGCGCCGGGTGCTGGAGGCCAGCCCTCTGTTGTGCTGGCCCAAGAGATGCTGCATTCCGAAGAGTCATCTGATTATGAGTACATGGAGAACGTGCCCTCCATGTATCCGTACGGTCATTACCCTGGGTACCCTCAGGGTACACCATATCCATCCTCCCCATATGGTACGGTGTTTTACCCGCCCCCTGGTTGGGGAGGTTACAAAGGCCTCCTGCACTCGTCTTCTGAAGGCTCCGTAATTGCCTCTCGTCGTCGAGCTATCACCACAGGAGGACCTCTGGTTCCTGTGCTCGAGGAACCCTACCACAATAATGGAGGTGGCTACCCCTCACTTTCTACCTCCCCACCCGCTGCTGCTCCGTCGGGCTCAAGTCAACGTCGTCACGTTGCTATCTCAGGACCTCTTGTGCCTGTCAGAGATAACTCTTACTATGGCGCCCCTGGTTCGCCTCCCACTTCTCCGTCAGGTGCAAATCACCGTCGTCGTCCGACTGCGAGGTCCTTAGTGCCAGTGCAAGAGAACCCCTACTATCGTGCCCTTGGTTCACCACCAACTTCTCCGTCATCTCGAGGCTACAGTGGGCGACGTCTGGAACGCAGTGACTCTCTCATCACGGTGGCACATCTTAACGAAGATCTATACGTCATCTCGCCATTCTTGCGGTTAACGCTTACCAACATGACCTGCGTGGTGGTCGTGGCTGCTCTCGCGCTACCCAATTTCGCCACGTTGTTCTACACCGTCTTCAGGTATACTCAGGCCGGCGATGCGCCGAAAGTACCAGACGTGTTTACCTTCCATGCATCTAATGTGCAGAAAGAATCGTCCCTGATGGCCTTTTTAGTATCTTATGCTGCTTGGCATTACTTAGAAAATACTAATTTTAGTTTTTGTTTTCGAGTGTCTCCTAAGCAGAAGTTGCCCCTATGGAGCTAAGTAAACCTTGTCTTGGGTTTCTAACGCGTGTACAATCGACAGAATTTGTTTATATTAAAAGGCTATGTTGTTGCTCTTTGGATGTGTTGTTTGCCCACGAATTTTACGTTCAGAAAATTTATTGTTACTTTGAGGAATTCGTATTTGATATTACTCTGCTTCACCTGTTATTCACCGAACTGCGTAATGTTTACTTCTTAATGATGTCGTCTTGGACGGTTATTTCTTACCAAAAAAGTTACGTTTCTATTAAAGCTACTCTTTTTCGCAAAATTAAGCTTTTCTTTAATATGTACTGTGTACTTGTGAGTGTACCTGTGCTGTATCTAATTATTCAGGTGAACTGTAATTATTTCTGTAAAGATTGGAAGTAGATAGATGGTACTATAATAATAAATTCCAGTTTAGTTATATTAATTAACGGCTTCTTCTAAAAAAGATGCGTTTCAAATATAATTAATGAATTATGTTGAGCAAACTGCTGTAATTAAAAGGCTACTCTAGTCTCTGTAGTTATATTCAATAATACCAATGATCGAAGTACTGCAATAACACATTCCATTACTGCGCTAACATGTCTTCCTGATATAACTTTCATACTTGAACTAATGGCAATCGAACTTAAATATGTATAATTTACCACCACATTTTTGCTTCAGTTATTGGAATTGCACAATATATTAGTTATGTATTATGTATATAATAGATGCGTGTTGATTGAATAGCGTGGGTGTAGGTTTGTACTTTGCGTGTTAGTGCATTCTAAACATGTTTGATTGCTTCTGTTAGTGCATTTGTGTGTGAGTGCTTGTGTACTGCGTGGATAAAGCTTGGACATCCCTTTGTGCATGTGCAACCTTTGCGTGGAGACAAGTTTGTGTGGAGATTAGAGTGTGCATGCAAGCAAGCGTGTGCATGCGGGCATGCTGATGCGTGCAAGCGTGTGCATGCAGGCATGCTTAAGCATGCAATGTATGCATGCAGGCGTATATGTATCAGAGTTGGGCAGTAGCGCGCTACATGTAGCGGCCGCTACATTTTCAGCAGCGGCAGCGTTATCGGCGCTTCATTTAAGCAATTGTAGCGGTAGCGCCCGCTACATTTAAGCAATTGTAGCGGTAGCGGCCGCTTCATTTAAGCAATTGTAGCGGTAGCGGCCGCTACATTTAAGCAATTGTAGCGGTAGCGGCCGCTACATTTAGAGCATGTAGCGGTAGCGGCCGCTACATTTAGAGCATGTAGCGGTAGCGGCTGCTACATTTCCAAGTAGCGCTGCCCAGCTCTGATATGTATACACAGACGTACAAGAGACGCAGCATCTCAACGAGCTCAAGTGAAGCAGGCAGCGCCAAGTGCTCCCTGCCGCCGCGCAGCTGCCGGCACCAGCGCCTCAACTTATCAGCGAGCCCGCCCATGTTACTTGCGCTCATCTCATATGTTTTAGTCTATATACTTGCGCTCATCTTTTATATTTTTTTAGATTTTGTGTGTCTGTAAAGCCTGGCACCGTAAATGTATGTGGAGCGTATCCGTGAGATTCATCGTGTGATAAGAAATTTTATTCATGGTGTAAAAATAGTAAGGCTTGCAAAACTGGGAAGAAAGGATTGGATCAAAAACTGAAATTTGCTTTTCAAAGTGATGTGTATAATATTAATCTAAAGATGAGGTTTTATTTTAATAATTTGAAACGAGAATCAAGTGTAAGTTCAGGTTTATGTATTTTTCTTTAAAATGTGAGTCTAGATGGGCCTTTTATTTATTAGAAAACCTCGTTTTCATTAATATTAGATACGATTAATAGGACGGGATTATTCAGCGTGGATTATTTGCCCGAGCAACGCGGATTGCGTGGCAAATAATAACAATAAATTGCGTGGATTATTCAATAATAAAATTGCGTGGATTATTCAGCCGAGCAACGCCGGGCCAACCTGCAACTAGTTTATTATATATGTATTAGTTCATTTCTTTCATATATTTTGTACGTATCCCTTCTATTCATCCTTAGTACATGTTTTATATACATACCTCATAATTAACTCTAGGTATATCTTGCTCTGATTTTATCTCAATTAACTGTCCATAACCTATATCATAATGACCCCTAGGGTTTTATTTGTTCTTCGCGCATTTTGGTTGGTTCGCGCTACATATTAACATCGTTACGGGCATCAGTTGTAGGGGTGTGCTACTGTGCTTATTGTGTAGCCAGGATAGCCTGCACTGCACATGTGTAGCCAGGATACCCTGCACTGCACTTGTGTAGCCAGGATACCCTGTACTGCACTTGTGTAGCCAGGATACCCTGCACTGCACTTGTGTAGCCAGGATACCCTGTACCCTACTGCACTTGTGTAGCCAGGATACCCTGCACTGCACTTGTGTAGCCAGGATACCCTGCAGCACATTTGTCAAGCGACTAATTGCACTAGCGTCTTCGTTTGTGTTGCTTTTCGCCTGAGGATTCTGCGTTTTTTTAATGCTAACGCTGCTATCCTGCTAACCCCGGCGGGCTAGGCGCTATAGCGACTCTCTAGTACTTGCTGGCAATGATTTATTTGGCATTTTAGGGACAAGGACTTGCATTAATAACTGTCAAGATCATAACTGTCGTGCCACAAAAATTTTTAACAATTAAAGAGCACTTAAATATTCGTGAAGATTGATTTTTGAGCACAATGATGCTCAAGCATGGTAAGATTAAATTGATATTAGAGCTATTCAATTTGAGTGGAAGGCGATGAATTGGCTCAAGTGAAGTTAATGTCCCTTTTATTGTGCAGACTGGTGTTCGGCACGCTGTTCCCAGCCTACTACTCCTACAAGGCAGTCAAAACCAAGAATGTTAAGGAATATGTGAGTACATTTATGTTGCGCTAGGCGGGGAGAATGTGGGTGAACATAGCATGTGATAAGCGTTGTTGCAGCGTCAGCATATGACGTGCGTTGTTGTAACTTCAGTAATCATTGACAATCATTGTCACTGTCATAGGTAATCATCACTATAACAATGATAACGGCCGTGCAGGTGAAATGGATGATGTACTGGATCGTGTTCGCGTTCTTCACCTGCTTCGAGACCATCACAGATCTCTTCCTGGCATTCTGGTTCCCTTTCTACTATGAGGTGAGCTTTGAATATATATTACTTAGATACTCAATTGTTCATTAATTTGTGCATGTCTCTACATCGACTCGTATTTATCTACCAACGCGAATTATTCTCATACTAATTTAGATAGTCACTAATTAGGTCATGTAGTGACAGAGAAACGTTATTATCCATGTGCGAACGTAAATTTGGCTATAGATTTAGCTACCTTCATAACTAGATTTAGCTACCTACGGTGTCTATATTTAGCTACCTACACCTAAAGTGTAAAAATTTAGCTACATAAAGTGTCTAGATTTAGCTACTTACAGTGTCTAGATTTAGCTACCTACAGTGTCTAGTGTGATGTTGGTAGTAAAAAGTATCATCATTTCTCTACGTGGTGAAATTATTGCTTATTGTTAGGCAAGGTCCCAGCTGGTCCCACATGGTCGCGAACCTGGTCCCATAACCGCTGGTCTCGCTTGTCCCACGTCCCAAACGACCGTTTGTCCCTAATTAGTTACCGCATTAATGACTTGATAATTATGACTTGGCCTTCACCCGTAATGTCCCTGCCTTCACCCGTAGTGTCGCCTTCACCCGTAATGTCTCGGCCTTCACCCGTAATGTCGCCTTCACCCGTAATGTCGCTGCCTTCACCCGTAATATCGCTGCTATCACCCGTAATGTCGCTGCCTTCACCCGTAATGTCGCTGCCTTCACCCGTAATGTCCCTGCCTTCACCCGTAATGTCCCTGCCTTCACCCGTAATGTCGCCTTCACCCGTAATGTCCCTGCCTTCACCCGTAATGTCGCCTTCACCCGTAATGTATTCACCCGTAATGTCCCTGCCTTCACCCGCAGCTGAAGATTGTGCTGGTGCTGTGGCTGTTGTCACCCGCGACCCGCGGGTCGTCGGTGTTATACCGGCGGTTCGTTCACCCGTGGCTCACCCAGCGGGAGGATGAGATCGACGAGTGCATCGCGCGGGCCAAGGAGCAAGGATACTCGACCGTCCTGCAACTAGGAACTAAAGGCGTCAACTATGCCACTAGTGTCATCATGCAGACTGCCATCAAGGTGGGTGCCACTAGTGTCATCATGCAGACTGCCATCAAGGTCGGTGCCACTAGTGTCATCATGCAGACTGCCATCAAGGTGGGTGCCACTAGTGTCATCATGCAGACTGCCATCAAGGTGGGTGCCACTAGTGTCATCATGCAGACTGCCATCAAGGTGGGTGCCACTAGTGTCATCATGCAGACTGCCATCAAGGTGGGTGCCACTAGTGTCAGCAGTGCCGCCATTCACCACTATGTAGTTACCGTGTTTGTCACTTAATAATAACAATAATAACAATTTCAATAATGAATGAAATTCACAAAGTTTCTTTCATTTAGTGGTACAACTGATGGTAAATTATCATTATACATCACGTATGCCACTCTGGAAATTCCAATAGTACAGCATGTACAATATAGCAAATATTATTTTATTTTTTAAATAAAATGATGATAAATAATTAGCATTACCGGTACTAGCTAGTTGCATCAGCTTATTCGTAAACATTCGTGATTTACACGATTGAAGAAAAACCATTTGATAAATTAAGATGTGTTACGGAGCGTAATTGGCCACATATAAAAGCGTGTTACTCGATTTTTGTAATGCGTTCGATAGCAGTTAATAACGATTGCTAAGAGCTTTTAATCAAGTAGATTCCATTTGCATACAATTCAATATAAACTCTAACAACACAAGGAAGAAGACTTTTTAATCAAGAGGAAGACTTTTTTAAAAAAAGGAAGACTTTTTTAAGGAAGACTTTTTAATCAAGAAGATATCACTTGTTTACAATTGAATATAAACTCTAACAACACAAAAGTGATAATAAGGAAGACTTTTTAATCAAGTAGATACCACTTGCATACAATTGAATATAAACTCTAACAACACAAGAGTGATTATAAGGAAGAGATTTTAATCAAGTAAATACCACTTGCCTATAATTAAATTTAAATGCTAACAATATGATAAGGAAGATGGCATTATATTATATATATAATTATTACAATATATAATAAGGGATTATAAGTAAGATGGCATACCACAGGGCGGGGGCGGGCTGGTGAACCAGCTGAAGAGGAGCTACAGTGTGGGGGAGCTGGGGGCGCCTGAGGACCACCTCGACGCTGGGGACCTCAACAGCAACACTAAAGCCCCCAGCCTGATGGGGGAGTACGATCCCCATCCCCGACACACAGGTACGGGGCATGGGGGCGAGTGTGGGGAGGTCTGCAGTGAGGGGGGAGGGCTTCTTGGTGGGGATGCCGTGGGGTTAGCACAGGAGACTGTGGGGGCTGATAGACCGACGACTAGACCGAAAAAAGAAAGAAGTCGTCGTGGGAAGAGAGGTTTTGATTTACCCAACCCCGGGTTTACAGGGGCAGGGTCTACCAGACCGCTCCAAGGGTCTCTGGGAGACACCATTGCAGACCCCACGGAGGGGATTGAGGGGTCTGCCCCACGGGCCCGTGTCGGGCCTGTGCCGCTGTTTTACGAAGAGCAACAAGAAATGGATGTTGAAACCCCCGTGACCCGCGGGGAGAGCACCCGTGGGCGGAGAGTGGCCCGCGGGGAGGATGAAAAAATAGACGATGAACCTCTCATGGCCCGCGGAGACGGGACCGGTGGGCGGGGACTGGCCCGAGGACGAGGTGTCACCACGCGCAGCATGGCATCGCAGGAGCCCTCGCACACCAAACTCTTCTTCTAATGTCGGGAAACCGAGAAATTGTCTTTTAATATTTTCCGTTGTCGCCATAACACAATCCCCTAAAAATTCTCTCAAGAATTTCTTATAAAATTAATCTCAAATCCCCCCGAAAACTTCTTCTAATGTCGGCAAATTCCTCCTTTAATGTATCTCAGAAAACGAAAAATTGTCTTTTAATCTTTTCCATTTGAGCTATAACACAATCCCCTTAAAATTTCTCTTTAGAATTTATAACAAAATTAATCACTGAAATTCTCCCCTTACATATTCCTCGAGAAATTGTCTTCTAATCGTTTCCACACAATCCCTTAAAAATTATCTTTAGAATTTCTTATAAAATTAATCTCGAAAATCCTCCCTTACATATTCCTTGCTGAATTAATCCGAATAAAACATTCGTATAACTTACAAATAACTTGGCATACATTTGCTTTTAATTAACCACGACATTCCCACTCTTAGGTTTGGTTTATCATCCTCAAATTTCGGTCCCATTAAACTTTTTTTTTTCAGTAAGAATCGGAATAAGTACGCCTGCACTTTATTCCGTTTAATAAATGACATTAAGTTTTAATTTGTGAGCTAACAGTTTCGAATTATTGCTGATGGTGAGGCTGATATTGCTGGTGAAACTCATGCTGATGATGGTGATGCTGGTGATCTAGAAAGGTGGTTGTGACACACAAACTGTGATGGTATCTGCTCAACGCTGCTGCTATTGGTGCTGCTGATGTTTTTGGTGTTGTTGCAAGACTGTCTGCTATTGTTGCAAGACTTGCTGCTTTTGTTGCAAGATTTGCTGCTGTTGTAGCAGGCCCTGATATTAATGGTGCATTGCTGCTGTTACAGCTAACGCCCTTGAATATACCTATTGCTGTTGTTGTCGCGGCCGGCAGGGCTCTGTGGTTCTTGTCAAAATGCTGCGTAGGTATTGGCTAATAATTAAAATGCATTTTGCTTTAACATAAGCTCTATTGTAGCATCAGGTCTATATAGCAATATAAGGTCTATAGCAATGTAAGGTCTAAACCAATATAAGGTCTATGGCAATGTGAGGTCTATATTAAAACAAGGTCTTTAGAAGTAATCAATAACTCTTTAAGTGTAGTGCGTCATTTGTAAGGAAGTATCGAGCAGCTCGTACAGTATTTTTTAAGTCTTAAGTCATTGGTAAAGATGCGCCTGAAGAATTTCTTAATGATTCTCCTTGTTCTGTTGAATCTCTGAATTGCCTAACGCTTCGACCTCACGCAGCTGTTGCGTCATGAGTCTACATTGATAATTGGTCAATTGGTTAAGGGTCTACATTGATCCTCTGGTCTATTTTATGGCTATGTTTCGACATGAGTGTTTTAGTCACGTTTGATTTTAGATGCTAGTTAATGCTAGAGATGCTAGTTATCGCTAGAAGCGATCGCGCTGTATATATATTTTCAGCCTACTCAATATAATACCACCTGCATATGTTCTACGCATTTGTAGTACGAATTTTCTAGTTTCTTTTATCGAGGTGCATTTATCACGTCCTTCTTAGGTAGGAGGTTATTTTTATAAGCATTCTATTTTAATTTGCATGTATTTCACCCTTTCTTTTGATGTTGCCGCATTTATCTATTTCAATTTCCAAGCCTTTTAATCCACTTATTTCCCTGCCTGTTCTAAGATGAAGCTAGTTAACTTTTTTTCTAATGAGAACAATTCTGTTTAGTGCTCAGGTTAGTTTAGTGTTTCTTCAGCGATTGAAACAGATTGTAATTCATATCCATAGCCTGATTTTGATCAAAATAGAGTTAAGTGAATCTGAATAGATTTAGGAATGATGGTAGAAGAAGTGTAGACATTGTTTGCTATAGATAGCGTGTGAACTGAGTTACAGTATCTGTAAATACTCATGCTTTTCATAATTTTATTATACACTTGTTTGTTTATAACCGTTCCAGAACCGTTTTCTCGGTGTGTGGTTGCCACCAATGGACATCGCAGAACCTTAAGGTTCTAGTATTAAAAAATAACCTTGGCCTATACTTTCAAAATAAGTTACGAGATCGTATGTTCATGAACCAATCATTGACGGCCTTTTAAGCAAAATCCACCAATCACAGACAAGAAAATAGAGCGTATAAGTACTTACGATCACTTAGCGAGTTTTTAAAGTATGGCCCCTGGACAAGAGAGCAAAATTTACTCACAGTTTTCTGGCAGTGCGTGTGTCGGGTAGTCTAACACTATAGTTAGTGTACAGACGTGTTGATACGTCACTAGCGTTTGTGTAAGGGATTTATATATATTGACTTAACAATAGTGTTTGTACATGCATTATATATGCCTAACTCTAGCGTTTGGGTACTTGTGTTATATTTGTCTAACTCTCGCATTTGTGTAATGTTTTATTTTGTGTTACTTTATGTGTTCCTTGTTAGTGATTGTTGATTGAAGCTTGTGTTGCGGAACATTCTTCTTACTAACAAGTATAGCAGGAGTATAATGGACCAACGTTCCCGGTCATGTCCATACATTTACGCTGCTTAGGCCGTCTTATATTAATTCATATATGTATATGACGAGTTTGTTAGATTATTCATATATCCAGTAGGCTCCTTATAACTAGGCGATGTCACTTATATATTAAAAGATTATCTGAGGAGACGGCAAGCGAGAAAATTAAATTCAAAAGAAATTTCGTAGTCCGGGTTTGGAGAATCCTATGTCAAAGGATGGTTGTACGTTAGTCCTTTACATCGATCTATAAATATGTCAAAGGTAGGTAGTATCTTGTTGGCTTGGTTTTTGCGATGATCTACCGGAATCATGTTGTGTTAACCGTTTATTATAATTATTGAATTATACTAGGTAAATATTGTTGAATTTATGAACTAATTTAAATATACTAAATATTGTTGAACGACGCGACTGGCGCTTCAAATCAATAACAACAAACTCTTCACTTCATACACCCTTGATGCGACGCGATTTTGAGGCCTAACGCTGACATGGTTTAAAATTATCTTTATGGACGGATACTTTGATTGGAGCGCTGAAAATTGTGCCTATTGCCGACTTTAGAGGTTGCGTAATTTTTACAGCTAGCTCGGTTTCGAACCTGCAAATTTTTGCTATAGTCAAAGATATCTATACCTCTTGGCCATCTCGCCGAAATGAGGAACCATTCAGGGACCGTACATTCAAAACTCGTTTTATTGAGTAAAGACTCTTAACCCCCTTAAAGGCACGTATGGACCGATTTCACGTCTGGGCTTAGCTTGAAAAGCCGTCAGTGATTGGACGGCGGAGTTACGAACTTTTTCTGATAGTACAGGGTCTCATTTATCTACAGATCGTAGGTTTTCTCTTTATCATTGTTCATCTTAATATTTCGCGTTTGTATAGGCTCGAGGTGATGTATCAAAACTGCTGGTATGTGACACACGCTCCTAGCGTTCATAGTTGTTTTTACTCTGGGAACTATTATACCAGGGGGATTCTACCAAATTACACTGATATGTAGTAATTAAATTCTGTGATTTTTATATAAATTAAAATGTTGATTGATTTTGTTATTCGTGGACTTAATTACTAATTGTACGTCTATTGTGTACGTCGACTAACAAGCTTTGTTCCCATTCGTGACATATCCGAGTTGAAACTCTATGTGGACTAAAACAAAAGTATTAACTAATGTTTTTATGAACATTTATACTATTGATTGAAATCATTGCTTTGTACGTCTGGGCTTATTGGCATGAAGCGTGGCTTAGAACTTCAGTTCTGGCGACCACTTGTGCAGTGTGTTTCTTGTTGGATTGTTGAACTAGTTTAGAGTTTAAATCTTGCAATTACGCCACTCATAATGCCAACAGTTTGAGCTAATCACCCTACATTAACCATAACACAAAACTACACACCACCCATGGTACCACAACATTATCACCACCCTTACACACAGCACCTACACCATCGCCACCCGCAACACCTTAACCATTATCATCGACAACACCTCCATAACCATTACTTTTACTATCAACCATCACTACTAGTAAACCTTAACAACTCCTACCATTACCATCAACAATCACTACCACCCTTAACATCAACACCCCCACCCATACCATCAACCACCACCTCCCCCGTGCAGGTCGATGGACGCGACAGAGCTGTACCACAGCACTCAGGACCTCTCATTTATTTATTTTCTTCCATGTTTAAATTAATAATTTCATTGGATTTCATTGAAAATTTGTTTCGTCCATCCGATATTTTTTACATCTGTCCTCTGCAATGTGCAGGTCGATGGACGCGACAGAGCTGTACCACAGCACGCAGGACCTCTCAGCGTCGGAGGACAGCAGCGGTGGCGGCATGACGACCAGCGTGCTGGTGCCCGGCGCCTCCGCCAGGAGGAGAACTCGCACCGCCACGCAGGACCTCACCAGGTGCGTGTCTGGGGTCATCCTCGCCGGTGTGATGACGGGGTTGGAGATTTTCTAGAGTGCCCTGGCTGCCTATAGTGTCTAGGTATATGAGTGCCCTAGCTGCCTAGAGTGTCTAGGTATGCTAGAACACTTGAGTTCCTACGAGTACCCAGGCTCCAGGAAGCACCTAGATACCCTGAGCACTTAGTCTTGAAGCACCTAGTTCTTATATTACCTCTTTAGCTCCCGCTTTTGCTATTATTCTTGCCTGTAAATCTTTAGAATTATTCTGTATTTTTTGATCAATTTATTTAATCATGAGTCTTATTAATCTTTAGTCCGTGCGACCTCCGCGCCTGAGTCGAGTTATTGAGTCAAATTCGTGGTTCACTCGGAAAATTACGGGCCATATTGTACAAATATTGACACACATACAGTGATGGTTGCACTGATACGGACTTCTGCCGGACCAAACTGGGTCAGGATGACCTACACCAAGTTAAAATGAGCATTGTTATTTAGACAAAGTGTCACTTGTTTCGCTGAGTGTTCATATTCGGCCATCGAGAAAGTTCCTCGCTAATGAAATATGTAAAGTCGTACTACATCTTCACTTCTTCAGTTTGTTCAAAATAGAGTTGCATTTTTAGGTCAGTGCCACTAAAGCTCTGGTGTCATTCATAGAGGGAGAATGAAATATTATTGCCCTAAGTACGGTCAAACATTGTTTCAACTTGTGGGATTTTTTTCGTGTATCCTTGAGGTCGTGCTGCTTGGTGCACGTATTGTCTCGCTGTGTTGCCGTGTGTGCTTCTGGCGGGTCCATGTTGCTCACGAATTTCACTATGAAATTAAAATTTCCCGCTACTAAAGTTAATGGAATAAATTGCGATCTTTTTGGCAGATATTCTGTCTGCTAGTGTTAGCGATCTACCAGGTGTCTGTTAGATGTTAGAGATCTACCAGATGTCTGTTAACCTTAGTATCCGTAACGATCTACCGAGTGTCTGTTAGCGATATACCAGATGTCTGTTAACCTTAGTATCCATAACGATCTATCGAGTGTCTGTAAGAGATCTACCAGCAATCTGTTGGCTGTCTATGAGTCTGTTAGCTCAACCGTTTTCTTCAGCTGAAATAGGCTCGTTGTGATGGACTGGTCGTTTAGCGGCTTGGTTGTTGGCACACGTGTGGAGGATGTTGTTCATAGCTGCTGCTGTAAATGTTGTTTCAGACGTTGAAAAGTTATTGATGTTGAAGGCAATATTGCTGATGTTGTTGTTGTTTCAGCGGTGTTGGTGCAGGCAGTTCTCACTCTCTGGGTCCCAACTCGTATAGCAAGACTCGAGCTGGGGAGGTGAGTTGCCACCACAGCTTCTGTTGCCCTCATAACTCTTGCTTACAAACTTCAATAAACCTTGATTTTCTTCACTAACATAATTTAGTGAATGCTTCTGATTTTAAGCGTTTATTTAATTACACACACTTTTTCTCAAGAATATTGCGAAATGATCACCGTTTACTGCTAAATGATCATCGTTTACTTTCATGAAAGCAAGAAATAAAGAATGTGTACTCTGGTTAAAATTGAATAATTTTATTGAATTCTGAAAAATTTACGGTGTACACTATAAAATTAGTATCCGCGAATGACAATAATAGTGTAAATGAAATAATGCCTCACTAATAATCAATTAGTATCACTTTGTGAGATAAATTTGGACATTTTTATACCACGAACTCTGGTGATCTTCACTGGATTTTACTTAGGGTACCTGAAATACTTAGGGTGTCTAGGATAGGAGAACTGGTTCAGGGAGACAAAACTTCCCCTAGGTCTCTGGGTCCTTTCAATTGATTAATTAATTCATTATTTCTTGGTGGTAAGACTAAACTAATTGATTTTCTGAAATCGGTTTGCTAGCATAGATTGTTTGTTGCCTTATACCTGGGAGAGGTTCTTGGTGGTTGAATGATTAACCTGGATGGTTGAAGTGTTAACCTGGGTGGCTGTAAGTATTAACATTTCGGATGATTAAGCTTGCTTGGTTGATACCCGCTGTTGTTGTTGGCATCCGCTTAACTTTTATCAGATTTTCCTTGCATTTCTACTTTCGGAATATAATTTTCTTAGCATTGGTTGCGAGTTCTGTACTTGTACTGATTGTAGTTCTGTTACTGCTTCATCATTTTTATGTATTCTGTTTTATAGAATGAATATTGGCTAAAAATTAAATACAATGCCTATTAGATCATTGCTTTGAAATGCCTTTATGCGGATAATGGAATTAAAACTAATACAAAAATGCTTTTATAGTTGTTCTAATGAAATTATAATATTAAGCATTGTTACACGCATTATAGTGCGAGGATATATGGTGCGTACGGTATGGTGTTTTGTGAAGGTGTGGTGTAACAATATCTTGATTAACAAAACGTGTGAGCTACATGCTCACGAGTCAATGTGAGTTGGTAAAAATGTCGTTATTTTAAATAATGATGAAAACGATAACATTCTTATTGACCTCTTGGAGAAAAAAAATAGATGAATGAAAAATGGGTGTGATTGTTAATCATTTACGCATCAGATGTACAGGCTTATAAATATAGGGGTTGTGGCCTATTTTGAAGAGGGCTATTGTAAAAAGTTGTGGGAATTGTGTTATAGTATAGTGGGAAGCAGGTTTTTATAGGAATTAAGGATTATTCTTACTATTATAATGCACATTATCATTAGTATCATTATTATTATTATTAATACTTTTATTATTATTTTTATTATTAGTTTTCATTATCAGGATTTATTAACATTAATAATTATATTATTATTGTGGAAAGTGGATCATTGTGGAAAGTTTAAGATTATAGCAAATAGGTTGATATTACACAGGAACACGAGCCATGTGTCTGACGTGTGTTTGTGTGTGCGCAGGTCTCCGCCTACGCCACCCTCCCCCGCAGCCGAGGACGCCCCTCAGGGACCATCAAAAGGACCGCCTCGAAGAAGAGGACGGTCTGAGACCGCCAGACCTAGACCTAAGTCCATGGTGGGGACCGTAGTAGACCTAGACCTAAGTCCATGGTGGGGACCGTGGTAGACCTAGACACAAGTCCATGGTTGGGACCGTGGCAGACCTAGACCTAAGTCCATGGTGGGGACCGTGGTAGACCTAGACCTAAGTCCGTGGTGGGGACCGTGGTAGACCTAGACCTAAGTCCACGGTAGGGACCGTGATAGACCTAGACCTAAGTCCATGGTGGGGTCCGTGGTAGACCTAGATCTATTCTATGGCCATGGTGGAGGCCGTGGTAGACCTAGACCTATGTCCATGGTGGAGGCCGTATTAGACCTAGACTTAAGTCCATGGTGGGGACCGTAGTAGGTAGAGCTAGACCTAAGTCCATGGTGGGAACTGGTTGTGGGGTGTGGTGTGTGTTAGAGCCTCAAAGACCGTTGTTATGCAGTGCAGGTTACCGGGGTCCGAGTGTTATTCCTGAGCTGTGGGAACGATAACGTTTTCAAGAGAGGTACAATCATCAAGAATAGTTACAGGTTCGTAGGTAACTTACCAGTAACTTATCAGCCAATCTCCAACGAATTTTCAAGCTAAATCCACCAACCACAGACGAGAAATCAGCCGCTACGTGTGCTTCAGTTTGTCGTGATAGTATTGCTCCAGGTCAGTAATGCAAGTGTCAAGGCTGTGTTACTATCTACAGCAAGAAGGTAATACGTTGTCCGTGTGCCGCAGATCACGAAGGTAATACGTCGCCCGTGTACCACAGATCACGAAGCTAATACATTGCCTGTGTACCACAGATCATGAAGCTAATACATTGCCTGTGTACCACAGATCATGAAGCTAATACGTCGCCCATGTGCCGCAGATCAATACGGGGGAGGTGCGGGCGGCCTACATGTCCGCCGGGGAGGCTGGGCGGCGGCCGCGTCTTCACACGCTCTCCGGCGGCCGACCGGCGGCCATCGTCGCCAAGCCTGCCGCTCTGGATATTCCAGCAACTGGGGAATATCGTTTTATTTGAAATTCATGCAACGGATAAATTTCCGGTTAGTGAATGTTCCCTGAAACTAGTGGATTTGCTTAGAGTGAATGAAAACTATCTAAATACCTGGAAAAAGTGGGTTGTTTCTGTGTGATTTTTCTCATTAGTTTTAGGCCCTCGTATTAGCATGTTTAGTTAACACTTTTGTGTACAGTATTCCAGACGTATTACCTTCACTATATCTAGGTAGGAATAGCATTGTGGCTGCTGAAGTGTTAACATTTATCAATATTCGGGTAGGAATAGCGTAGTAGCCTTTGAATTGTTTACATTCATCAATCTTCAGGAAGGAATAGCATTTTATTCTTTTTCGTTCTTTCCTTTATTGTTGTGCGTATCGGTTGTTGACTTTGGGTAGGAAGTGGGATTTGAATTGACCAAGTTTAATCTTCTATGCTCTGAGGAAACGGAACTTGTATTCTCCATGATCTCGTATTTTCCATGTGTAGCTATTTAAAGAGTCTAAATAATTATATATATCAGTGATGTGAAGTGATAGGAAATCCCTGGGATATTTTATGGTTCGACCTGCAGGTAGGAATAGCACTGCGAAACAATCAATCCTATTGTGTTTTATCATCAAACTTTCAACTTTTATGTCTATCATCCGTTGCCATTTGCTTATTACTAGGAAGTTCTTTGTATTAATGAATAATATTCTATATCTATTGAAATATCTTTGATGTTTGTTAAATTAAATTGTAAATTGTGTTATTTTTTGAACTGTCTATGATCATGAGCTGTCCTCGCAGCTATAACCATGATTATGAGTAGGCCTCACAGCTGTAACTATGATTATAATTATAATATGATTATAATATCCCATGGGTGTTAGAGAGAGCTTCCTAGAGCCTTAGCTCTAGAACTTGACATGTTGTTATTCTAGAAGATTAAGTCAAAGGAGGTAATAGGTGACGTGGAAGACGATCAAACATCAAGGAGGATGTGTTGGATGTTGGTGCTGAAAGCGACATATGTTGCATTTTTGTGCTGGAGGCGACAAATGTTGTACGTATGTTAATGCTGAGGGAAGACGACCAATGTTACACGTTAGTGCTGAGGGCGACATATGTTGGATGTTGGCGCTTAGGGAAGGCGACACATGTTAGACTTTGGTGCTGAGGGCGACATATGTTGGATGTTAGCGCTTAGGGAAGGCGACACATGTTAGACTTTAGTGCTGGAGGCGACATTTGTTGTATATTAAGGCTGAGGGAAGGCGACATATGTTGTATATTTGTTCTGATGATAGCGACACGTGATAAATGTTAGGTAAGCGCAGGTAACAAGCGTTCAGCACAAATATTTATTCTCAAACTAGTGTAAATCTTGACTTCCCTTTTATGATGAGTGAAGTTCAAGAGGATCTTATTGGTGTGGGGCGCCGCCCACTGTGTGGTGGCCAGCGTCAGGGCGAGGGTCCTGAAGGTAGTGGACTCGCGTCTCCAGTAATTGTTGAGTATATTATGATCTATTTAATTAGCTCTTGTTAAGTCAGCTTTTTGTGATATCAACTCCGAAAACAGTAGCACAACTTGGAAGGTATTTCTTTGTTTTGAATCTGAAACCTTCAATTGCCATTTTTTTACCATACTAGAGTTTTGAAAGTGATAGGTAATGTTTCTTTTATCTATCACGTATTTTTTATTTATTTGGCTATCCTTTGCATCCTGATCTCTTCTACAATCTGAATGCATACTTGCAGCTCCTTTTTCTCATCTTTCGTACCGCATTTTTGCATTTTGGTATCTAATTCCCACTACGTATATTTTCAATGCTTGTCAGTCAATTTAACGTCATAGATGCTACTTAGAATTTCGTAAGTCTGTGCTGTAGTGATAGTTTGTGTTCACCCCTCGACTTTGTTGCAGTCCTGTCAAAAGTATAAAGTATTCTCCATAATCAGCTTTCATTATAAGTGTACACAATTTAATTAGTGATGTATCGTACTCATTGTACACTTCTGCTGGCTGAATGCTGTAGCATTTACTGTGGAATTGTATTAGTTTACTCATATTTGCATTAAAACATTCGATTTTTTAGTATTAATTTTGTTTTAATTATTAGCATTGGTGTCCAGTGAGGTCTTATATTGAATGGTGCGTACATAATTTGTTTAAACAATAACTAACATCCCATCAATACACGCTTAGTGATGGGCGTTTGTTTCTCACTTGTCGTCTTCTTTCATCCGAGGAGAAGAGAAAGATCAAGTGGGACGGCTGAGGAATTGTATTGATCATTTTTAACATTACCTATATTCTTTATTTATGACCTCAAGTTACTCTTAGCTTTCTATTGCGTTCGCACAAATCAACAAATTAATTCGGAAGTACGAGGTAGATAAATAGAAAGCCTATAGAAGAGGAGGGAGAGTGCAGTTGCAGAAGCCGATGTACATGATATTTAAAAACAAAATTTGAATTATATTCATTGAGGATAAATAGAATTAAATACTTTTATCACTTGCGTACTCCTTGTAGAGAATCCCAACTTATTAAATGCCGCATGCAAGAGTAGACTTGGTAATTCTTTTGACTGGACAATGTTGCGCCTTCTGTGGACTAATAGCTAACTATTGTTGAATGATGATGCACGTTTTCAAGAAAAACGGGCAAGAAGTTCAACAGTGCCACACTAACAATACGTATTCTATGTTGAATATTTAGAACTTCAACAAATTCTGAAATTATTGGAAAACTATATAAAACTTTTTATTAACCCGCCCAGTTCGGAATTTCTTGCCTTGCTAAGGCGTATAACGTAAAATTTGCCCTCGCCTTTAGAAACGTACATTTTGAAACCATCTCGTTTGTACGACTTACTTACGCAAGGTTGTCTTTGATCCTGATCTGTTGATAGAATTGACCCGCTTTGTAGGCTTTTATTTTAAACTCAGAAAGTATTTTTATTTATATCTCATGACTTGTGTTATTTATATGTACGGTTAAGTTCTGATTTTGTGATCTTGTGTGGCTCGATGATGTTTATAAATCTCGTAGGAATAACATTGAAAATAGCGAGGCAAATGTGCCGGCCTGGACAGTAAGCGTGTTTATAATCTGTGTACATTTTTGTCTTTATATTCAATAAAAAATAATTTTAAGACGCATGGCAAGTAATTTATTTATCTTGAATGCGTTAATTAGGTTGTTCGTTTGTGCTTCTCTCTCTGCTGTTTTAGGTCGTCTTTCTGGAAATGATTACTTCGTGAAATTAAAACGTCATAACCTATTGATGTTATTGCGTCGTGAGATTATTGCGTTATGCTATTCTTAGGTCATGAGATTATTATGCCTTGATATTATTACGCTCTGAGATTATTGCTTTATGCTATTCTTATGTCATCAGATTATCATTTAATTATATTACCTATATCAGTAGATTATTACGCCCTGAGATTATCACATTGTGAGATTATTACGTCGGGTGATTGCCGACATTGACCGTAATATGTTACGTACTATTAAATTGTCGAAAAAATGATTGGTAGAGGTTTTTAAAATGCATTCTTCACAGGTTTTTTGTTGCTCATTCAAATACTTTTACCGTCTTTTGAAGAGGTCACTTAACTTTTTATTTGGGTCAACATCGTTTACAAGCAAGCTTGTGATGTGAGCGTTCCTTGCTGGTTGAATAAGAACAACTCACTTGTCTACATTTCTTTCAGTTGTCAACATGATACTCAAGTATGTAATGTGTTGTTATTAACCTGAGCCGTCAGTGTGATCATTGTGATGAGATGTTTACACCAGCATATCTTTAACTCAGCAGCTTCTCGATAACTGGAATAGAATTTATATTATTGGGAGAATTAATTAATTCAGCGTAAAGTTATAATTTTATTCAATGCCTTCATGTTGCAAATTTGTATCAACAAAATTAAAATTGAACATAAGAAGCTTTGAAACAATATCACGTCGACTTTTGAAGACATTAAATTTTAGGTGAAGCATTAAATAAGCAGTAACCGAGCTAAATGTGCTGTTTGCATTTAACGGTGCCCTTGTTACACCAGATGAGCGGGCGTTGTGCAACGGGAACAATATTTCGTCAGAATCTAGAGTATCTTGTTGTAGGGCCATTAACATTTTTCAACATAAAACAATCTTAAAAATCTTTCATGACCCTGAATGTGTTCCTATGCCGCTTGGAAGCCCTCGCGTATCTCTTGTGGTCCTACATTTACCACCACTCGTACCACTTGTAGCGTACCACAGTTCCGAACAGTTGGTCCGTGGCAAAGAGGTAACGCTTAGTCTACAGGGGTAACGGAAGTATCTAGTTACCAGACCTTCAAATGCGAATAACTTCGACAACAGTTTTATTTATTATTATTTATTTATTATTTTAAAAATTCACTCTATTATTTGTTCAATAAAAGGGTTCAAGCGAAATCAATAAAAATGCTAAAAGAAGAGAGTTTTTTCCAAGACGCGGCTGGAGGTCGACGTCATATCCTATAAGAGGTCTTGCTTACGGCGCCTTATATTGTATTATCTTGAAAGTCTAACTAATGGATCTATTTTCTAACCGAATTCACATGTTTCTGACGGTCGAAAGAAACCAATTAATCTTGTAATTTTCACTTCGTTTAGCGAGGTAGATTTTCCCTTGAAGTAGGTATTCAAAAGCTGGACTGGTATGAAATTCACCTTTTAATAATTCAATTATTTTGTAATAATTTAATTATTTTTTTGATGAAAATAACTTGTGACTTTCAACGCAGAAGATCATTACGTCCGGATTGTGCTACGTTTGGTAGAAGCGTTGTTCCTACCTAGATGGTTTGAGCCGTGAGGGACATGGGGGACAACCCCACATCCTCAATAAACAAATAACCAACAAACATACCTAGATGGTGCAGATTCTTTTCAGCCGTCAGTTAGAAAAAATTAGTGCAATTTTTATTCTTTCTTCAATTAACTGTTCTGCAGTCGTTCTTGCTGTTTCATCACAGCTGACAAGCCCTTCGTATGCCCTTGGATGATCGTAAGTTCTCTGAAAATAGAAAATTCATACTTGCTTTCTAGTATGTAGAGGAAGCTATGAGGTTTGTTGAAGCGGTTGGTGTTTGACGTTTGTCTCTGAATCTTTGTAATCTCATTCTGTAATTTTTCTACCGCGAGGCTGCATCCTAAAACAGTACTTCGATGATCTCGACCTCACGATGTTCGTATATTCAAATATGGCGGCTGCCGTCGGCTAAGGTAGAGCAAATATGAAGAAATGTTCAACATTGCACAAATATTGCCATGCCTTCAAATATTGCTTTCAATTAGACTGCCTGCGAAACGTCCCCCAGTTGGGGATAGTTTCAAAAGTGATAAATTGGCAGTGAAGTGGCTTAGCCTAAACATGGAAATTGTGGCAAACTAATTATACTTGAGGCCGGAAATGATGAAGGTTAACGATTAAAGCATCTTTTTGCCACAATCAAGATTTACATATCAAACTCAACAGCCGCGTCAGATGGAAGTTTCCTAAACACTATCTTTGGTAAAGTTGATAATTAATACGAGATTTGAGACCATCAACATGGATCATGTCGATTGTAACTTGTAAGTATCTTCTTGTTGCATATTGGAACTGTTTGTTGAAACTTATAGCCCCAGCACAATTCCCAAGTTAACCTCGCCTGCCCTATACATACAAGCTATAAAGTATAAAGCAAGAGAATTACGAAGTAACACCACGCTCGCTAAACTCCTTACACCTAACTCGTGTTCAATGCAAATTCCTGACGGGCTCGTCGCGTTCTAGATGCGTTAGCTCCCCTTGTATTTCAAGCCAGAATAAAGGCTCCGGCCCTCTCTAAACATCACTACGACAGAATTTTAGAATCGATAAATTAAATCGAAAAAATTACCGTTGACGTTTGGGAAATTGCTGAGTATATATATATATATCTTGAAATAGTGGTTCAATTTCATAAACGATCGTAAAATTCAATTTCTTTTCAGCATTTCCCACGCAGAAGAAGGATTTTTATTTTTCTCTTTAAGCGAAGAAGCTGCTTTCGAAACAAAGGTTTATATAGCAGCAGAGTTTGCTTCCCTTGGTTGAAGTCGCTTATGCACAAGGCTTCGTATCTCGGGAATAAATAAGGTGGCATAACCTCGTCAAAGACAAAGCATTCGACAGGCTCATTTGCAGGCAGGAATGACAGTTCAAGATAAAGAAAGTTAAATTTTTTCCAACCGGCAATGCCAGGATGAAAAAATTTCCGACTTCACCGCAAACAATTTGGCGAACTAAAAAATTCGCACTCGAGTGCTTCAAAGAAATCGTCGAAATTATTGGTACGTAATTCTCTTATGAACTATGCTGCAAAATTATTTTGAAATATGTCCCAAAATTATTTACATCTTGACGTCATATTTACAAGATATTAAAAATTCTAAATTATCAAGCGGAATGACTTGCCCACTAAATTCGTTGCGGCAAGTTATTAATTATCAGCTTCAGATGACTAGAAGATCCTAAATAAATTGCTGATTGATATATTTTTACTCATATGGCTAAACGTATAACCTTATTGTGACATTTGTTCCATTTACGTTTGCTCCTTTGAAAAATATCTACTAATAAAAAGATTCTAACGATCTAAAATATAGCGAATCTAAGCGCGTCAAGATTTGTTCGAGACAATAATAGTATTCACTATATGTTATGTATTTTATATGTATAGCAATAGCATTGAATTTTTCTAGTGCAAGCAGCGTGGAATCTCTTAAGAAATTTATATATCAATGAAGACTTCTCAGAAAATGTTCGGAAATACTTACGATATCGTAATTATTCGTTACGTGTTTTTTTTAAGGTTTCCATCGTTGAAACTTCGGTTATGGGTCCTTAGGCTCATATTTAATTTTTAATTGCTTTCATTTAAATTTTATTTATCCCTATTGATTGTACTTGTGTTCGTTAAGTTTATGAACTGATGACAGAGCTGGTCTCCGAAACGGTGACCAACGGTCATTGGTCTCCGAAACGGTGACCAATGAATTCACGGTGAACTTGATTGCGTTTTCTTAGCTTTTAAATCTTAGTTACCGAAGATGTGACTGCATCATTTAAGTATCTTGGGATTCTCAGTAGCCTAGTAGGTATAACGACGCCGTCACTACTTCGTAAACCATGCTCATCATGTGCGTAAGGTGCGTATACAACGGTCAGATTGTGCACGCTATCCCGATGGCATCAAATGTGCATTTACGATCCCTTTATAACTTATCATGTTCGTAGGGTATAATTTTCGACGGTAATACGGCCGTCATAAAATATAAGATTTTCATATATTTTTTGATTTTCAAAGAATTTGCTTGTCGTAGATCCTCTGATCGTCGTGAAAATTATGTTCGTAATGAAATATTGCCGTCATTTATGCCAGTCATTAACTTTCTGTAAATCGTCTTGCCACCTGCGACCGCTTTAAAATTTTCAATTATTTCACTCCAGTCAATTGCAGAAAGCCGCTTCTAAATTATGATCATCGTTGCAGTTTTTAAATCTTTAAATTTTTCTCGAATTGCTACCATGCATCCGAGTTGCCGACGTTTCCAATAAGCTGGCAACGCAGTCACCTTCCCACGGTGTTGCTAACCGTTCCTTGCTTTGAAATTTCCCTTCTTTTGAGAGATACGATTAGCATTCGAGATACTCGACCGTTTGCTCTCAACTTCCGACGTCCTGCGTGACTTTGACGAGCCAAGCAATGAACGTCGTCTTAGGATCCTTAAGCCTCTTAAGACTCCGCTCCACCAGCTGGGAGGCATGTGCGAAAATTACTGTCGCTTCACAGATCAACCAAGCAATCAAAGAAATGAGTAAGATATTATCCAAGTTGTGATGCACATTTTGCCTTTTAGTTAGTTATTCCTGACCCTGTTTGGACCGCCGGAAAGGGGTATCAATTATACGCGCAGAAAGTGTCACAATTTAGACCATATTACACATTGATTTTTTTGAGAGAGGAATCCCTGGTTATTAATATATTATTATGCCTACCATTGCTGATACAGAATTCCCTAAAATAGGCTGTTCTGAAGCATAAGTATTTCTAAAATATATTTAAAGCCTATATAGTTCTAGATAGGCTTGCTCGCTCGAAATTTAGGCTATTTCACAGTCTAACCACTGTCCTTTCTTTATCTGAATTTTAACATTGGTCCCTTACCCAGAAAAATAAACGGCCAAATAAAGAAAAACTTTTTGTGCGAACCACCGATACGATTTTTTTCGGGCCAAACTAGGTTGGGATGACCCACAAAAANCATAATGAAGCAGCTATAGGATTCTCCATAACCCGTGGCGCAGGCTCGTCGATCTCAACGCTAGCGACTAATTACGTGTACTCGTCACAGCAACGATTCTCGTAGCTAGTCATCTTGTCTGTGTATTGATTGTTATTAATACAGTCAGTGTATTTATAGAGTCATCTAGTCAGTGCATTGATTGTCATTCATCTAGTCGGTGTATATATAGCCAGTCATCTAATCATTGCATTGATTATCATTCATCCAGTCAGAGTATTTATGGTTAGTCAGTAAGTCATCGACCTAGCCTAGAAACAGTAAGACATCGACAATTGGAATGTTAGTCCTCGTCACGAAGTCATAGTTAGATTTAGTAAGTCGTTATCAATCTGTCTTTATTGTTAATGGTCAGTCAGTCGTAGACTAGAAGTCATTTTCCCATAGTGGGTTGGTCGAAACTTTATAAGTACTCCTCAATTGTTTAATTTTGTTCAGTTTTCACGACTTATGAAACCATTCTGACATCTCTCGATTTTTGCATTCTTCCTTCATACTTTTGATTTGGGCGTAAAATGTTTTGCAGTCAATAGAAGACCCCAAAGATATTTTTTGTTCAATGTTCATTTCCTCACTTAGAAGCATTCGTTGAAGTTACTTTTCATCTCGTATGGATGAACATTCCATTCGGTGACTTTAATAATCACTTTCTCGCTTCGCTCAAATGTAATCACTTTCAATTAGCGCTTGCGTATGAACTATAAAGTTCATGTTCGCCCATCACTAATTTCTGATAATGGTAACTCAATATTTTATCATAGTTAAATTAGTTTTCATTAAACTTTTCTTTTCTCACACGTTAGCCCTAAATTATACAGAAAAACTGTCGGATTTGACGTCAGTTCTACAACCGTTGCGACTGAAACATTTCGCATGTCCCTGACCATTGAGAGTCGTCTGGGTATTCTTGGTTCGTCTTGTGTTCCCCTGATGTATTTTTGGCGACACGAGCTTCAGTTGAGAAGCAATTAAGCTTATCCTGCGACTGCATGCTTGACTCTGTGCAAAAACAGCTTCATTAATCTTGCCCTAGGTGCTAGTAGGCCCCCGCATCCTTTGTAAGACGTCCTCGGTCCAAACACGAGCTTCGTTCAACTGCCGCGCCTCTTGCGGCGCTTCCTTACATGCTCAACTTTTACTGATGACATTGTCAAATACGGCTGCAGTTTTACATTCTTCTTAGAAACTGAAATTGTACGCTTCTTCTAATGATGATTCACTTCCGTTTTGAGATTACATTCTCGTATATGCGAGGAAAAAGAATAAAAACAAAATTATATTTGAAAAATTTGTATTGTGGATGGTGTAGAAGAAATCTCGAGTTCGAGAGAATCATTATCCAAAAAGGGGTTTTGAAATTACAAGCAATTATAGTTATACTGAATTTGAATTCTGGCTGAATTTTAATGGCACCTTTCCCATTATATATATTGCGTATGTAAAATGCTTCTAATTATGACCGCTCTATATCACTGTCCAGTATTTTCTAATTACGACAGTATAGTTGATCTAGGTTGCCTAAATGACAACCGGTTAGACAAAATGAACGGGAGCGAAGACTAAACTATTGTTATTTTAATAATTGACAAAATCATTATTATTTTTCTTTGTCGATGTTATTGAACTTTATTATTCCTCTTCGAAAATTCAACGAAGGAAGCTTTGGTCAACCGATTAACTTTGACTATTTAGGATTTAGTACTTTAATTCAATATAGGATCATCATTGAAGTTAAGATCTTCGTTGAATATAGGATACCGGTAGTAGTGGGATATACTATCATCGTTTAACTTACAATACACTGTAGATGTGCGGTCAACGGTAAACGTAAAAACGAACTAGAAATAAATTCAAAAATTCATTATGAAAAAGAATAACAAAAATGATCAATAAGTCTTTCATGGGATCCAACTCGCATGCTCCCCAGAAAACACAATATTCATTTACAATCAATTCATTCATTTATTCATTCATTTTGACGACGAATCCTTTCCTGTATTCATATTATCGTCCAATTATTATTTCCATGCAACATGCAACAAAAACTTCCTCCCTGACTCACACAGACCAAAATATTCATAAATTTACACGGCCCATTTAATCCCTCCGCGCATCACACATGCCAACATACATCTCGGCACACATCACACAGACCTATAAATTCCTTCATACATCACACAGATCCATAAATTTCTCCTCGCATCACACAGGACCATAAATTCCTCCGTGCATCACACAGACCCATAAATTCCTCCATACATCACACAGATCCATAAATTCCTCCATACATCACACAGATCCATAAATTTCTCCTCGCATCACACAGGACCATAAATTCCTCCATGCATCACACAGACCCATAAATTCCTCCAGACATCACACAGATCCATAAATTCCTCCATACATCACACAGATCCATAAATTCCTCCATACATCACACATGCCCAGAAATTCCTCCATACATCACACAGACCCATAAATTTCTCCTCGCATCACACAGGACCATAAATTCCTCCATGCATCACACAGACCCATAGATTTCTCCATACATCACACAGGCCCATAATTTCCTCCATACATCACACATGCCCATAAATTCCTCCATACATCACACGGACCCATAAATTCCTCCATACATCACACAGACCCATAAATTCCTCCATCTATCACACAGATACATAGATTCTTCCANCGTAACTTACGTGGCAGTTACGACATCGTAACTTACGTGACAGTTACGACATCGTAGCTTACGTGGCAGTTGCGACATCGTAACTTACGTGACAGTTACGACATCAACTGCAACTTTTATGGTAGTTACGACTTTATACTTGATGTCGTAAATACTGCTTCGTAGACCTTACGACCACCGCCCTCCGCCCCCCCCCCGCTGGAGGCCTGCGCGCCGGCGGCGGAAAAAACTCCTTAGAAAAACAGCGGCGGCGGCGGCGTTGCCGGGCGATCAAGACGCTGCATGCCGGGGAGTCGGGGAGAGGTGGGGAGAGGGAAGGAGGGATGAGGGAAGAAGAGAGGGAAAGAAGGAGTAGGGAAAAAATTACGCATGATTTCTCCTTAACTCTCATTTACCTTCTTACCCTCTGTCGCCCTATTTATCCTAGTATTTCTATCTCTTTCTCTGCATTCTCTCACTTTCCTCTCCCCCTTCTTCCCTCACTCTCCCCCTCCCCTTCTTCTCTCATTCCCCTCCCTACCTTTTATTCATTATCCTTCAGATTGAAGAGGTCTTCATAAATCACCTTCATGGAGCGCTGGTCTGCGAGAAAGTACTCCACGGGGGCGGTGACATCAGCGACGTAACTATATTATTAAGTACTAAATTAATTAATGTACCAAATAATATTGTAGCAAATTTGAGAGTATGTAATGGCTGTCTTCAGCCGTTCTCTTTGTTGTATATACGCTATTAATTTAAGAACACAACGGGACTACAAATTAACTCAATGTTGAAAATATGTTCAACAACTGCCGCCTGTAATGTACTACCTGATCTGTGCAGCATGTAGTGCACCGCGCTGCACCTGCACAGCCCACGACCCTCGCGCCTTCCCCTCGGTCGCAACGTTCGTTTTTTTGCTGAGTTTTTATAAAAGCTTCCTACGAGACTCAGTCCTACCCCCCCCCCCTACTTATGCAACCCCTCTTCCCTCACTTCAACANCTTATATTGCTGTGCAGTGACACCTATTGTGATATATGTGATGTTCTGCAGTGATATTGCTTATATTGATGTGCAGTGACAGCTATTGTGATATATGTGATATTGTGCAGTGATATTGCTTATATTGATGTGCAGTGACAGCTATTGTGATATATGTGGTTTTGTGCAGTGATATTGACTATTTTTACTGTCCATTTGCCCCTGTTGTATGTTTTATAATTCTTTGTGCCATAGCTTATTATATCACATTTCTTTTTGTAGTGGTTTCGTAAACTGGCCTCTACTGTGTGATGTAGTTACTGCAGAATTATTGTGCAGTGTCATTTATTGTGCACTTCGTGCTTCATCGTACTGAAGCCCCTATTTGTATGTTATCACTTCGAGTTCATATCAATAGTGCAACTGGAGGTATTTACCAGATACCTAGTCTAGTTCGACTAGATGTATCTAGTTGGTATATTGGAAATTAGTAATTGGTCCCGAAAAAGGCTGCCGTGAACCGCATTGTTCATTGTCTGTATTTCGCTCGCAGAGTATCAAGCTTCATCTAAGACGAAGTTGGATTCGTTGAAAGCGATTTTTCAATTAATGATTCGTGATGAATATTCTTACTATAATATTCAAATTTTTTGTATCAATAAATTCCTAGTAATGAATGTATTGCGGACCGTCGTTTGGATAGGTCCAAGAATCTCCACTCTTGGCCTGAAATAAATATTGATCTTTTTAGCTAAACTTATAATATTCACTCTTGGACTGAAATATTTAATGATCTTTTTAGCTGAATTTTTACCTATTTATCATGGGCCAGAGTTAGTATTGTATTTAGTCTCTCTCTTTTTTCTTTAAAAAAAGAGGCTCACGTAAATGTTCTTTCGTTTCAGTTACCTCTCGTGCAATTCGATGGAATACATTATATAAATAATCAAATTTATCTCTTTGATTGCAGCGCTCCAACGTTGTTGCTCGTTCCCAGCGATGAGGAGATTAAAAGATGGTTTTGTTCATTGATTTTTATGAAAATAACAAAAATACTTATTTGCTTCAACGAACAATCTGCAAGAAGAACAGCGAGTACAGCTAAGTACGAAGTACAGGGCGCAGGAGGTGTACAAATTGTGATAATATTGGAAAATTAATAGAGGCGGATAAAAGGTGAATAAATTAAGATTGCATATAAAGCCTGACAAACTACGTGCTATGTGATCGAGGCACGGAGCTGCGAGTTTCAGTCAAGACTTTAATACAATTAAATAATACTTTAATTAAAATGATGCGTGAAACTATTAATCGTTATATGAACTATAAATGGCACAACCATTTTAAAATTAACCTAGCATTTTACTGGTGAGAATAATATTGTCGTACACTGCGCATTTTATTGAACATTGATAATGAATGCTATGCTAAGTCATGGAACACAAGACAAAACATCGTGTGTATGAAATGATGATCTCATTAGAGTATTTAAAGATCAAGACTTAACGGAGGCTCATTAAAGCAACACCTGAACACGGTAACTAATTAGAACAACATTAGTAGGGAGATCTTAAGTAGCTACAAGTATCATAAGTAGGAGGACGTGGCTGACTGCATGAGAGGCCCTGCGATGTTCTCATCCTTTTATTCAGTGAGACAAATAATTTACAATTGTTCGTAGCATGAAAATTTGTATGTTATTTATTTGGCAACATTTTTGGTTTTGAAATTTAGGCGTATGCTAAGCATCAGCCAGACATTTGCAAATGATTATGGCTTATTCAATATCTTATTGGCATGACATAGTATGTATATAGAGTATAATTGCTAGGCAAGATTACAAGGTTATTCATTGATAGAATATTTATATGGATAATTTTTTTGCATTTAAAGCTTGAACATTGGGTCAGGCAGATTTCGGAAGCCTTTAAATGCTTGAATATTTGTAATGTGGGTAAATTATCTGAGCTTTTTTGGGCAGGAACAGCGCAGGATCTCGCGTGCAGTGACCACATATATCCTGTAAGCGCGTGTTAAGGAACTTCTGGTTGCTGGAGCCTTCGCAGAGGCCGTCTAGAGTAAGGCGGGACTTCATTTAATAAACTCACACCAACGTTTAAAATACGAACTTTGTCATGTACGCACCAGATCGTCATGTACGCACTAGATCGTCATGTACGCACTTGATTGTTATGCACGCACTAGTTCGTCATGTACGCACTTGATCGTCATGTACGTACTTGATCATAATGCACGCACTTGATTGTTATGTACGCACTAGTTCGTCATGTACGCACTAGATCGTCATGTACGCACTAGATCGTCATGTACGCACTTGATCGTCATGTACGCACTAGAAAAATCAATAATAATAAAATAAAGTATTCCATGTTCATGGAATGGAAATTGTATCCACACAGCTGAGTTTTGTAAAAACCTGAACTTGAATCAAGTTGCGAGTGAGTTTTTTAACTGAAGTCCGCTATTAATCCATAACTTAAAACTACACAGTAAAAAATTATAAAAGTTTACAGTGAATCTTTATAGTGAGCATATGTACAAAAATAATCTTGGACTATACGTCTAGTTATTGTGTAAGAATCTAGAGGGCAAACCAGCGAAAGATCTATTCTAGGGGAGACTTCCTTTGATCAATGGAGGCTTAGGTCACAATGTATTTCTTCCACAGATGGTCATAGTGAAGTTTACAACACAATTAGAACAGCGCGAAAGATTTTTTAGGGCAGTTGTTGACATTTATGAATAACCCTTTACGAGCAGCCACGTATATAATTCAATGAATTAAAATGAAAAATTTGTTCACAAATCCTTGTATCTCGCTGAAAGAAGAAAGAATGCCGCACCTCGGGACAATTTTCTGATAAATTTATGAATGTAAAAACTTTAATTTGAAAAAATAATTACTTCAACATTGTCTCCTTGAGCAAAGTAAGAATATTGAAAGCGTCATCGCTATTTTGTGCACGAGCAAACGAATAAAGTGGCTGGGCCGCGTCAAACAAAGCTAAAGTTTAGGCAATATTTTGTGGCATGAATATTTCAGTAAACGTTCCACTGACCAATTTCCACCATTGATTGACGTATATAATTATTTTCATGATGGTCCACGTATTCCATCATTATATAGAACATGTTTGAGGACCGCTGAAGTGCAATAACCTTTTGATTTAAGTCTCCTTCGAATATTTCTCCCGTTGGTTTACTGCGTAAGTCTAAGACCCTGTGACACCGAGAAGGACGAGCCTTCGTACGTATACATACAATATTACATTACTAAGAATATTTCACACTTTTTATTCAATATCAATTTCAAGGAAAGATCTTCACATGTTTCCTCGCATTAATTGACTTCCACTCGATTAATAATAACTCGCTTGAATTAGGAATGGAAAAATAAATGCTATTCGCCTAACTCATTAGAGTATTCAAAATTCAAGACTCACTTGAATAATGAATGGAAATATAATGCCATTTGTCTAACTGCGTCTCGCTAGTTTGATAACAAAGTGCGTCCAACTTTTCTTATACGTTGGCCACTTGCTTCGGTATTCCAACATAACCATTTAGTAGTGATAGTTACGAGTTACGATAGTTGGTAATCCACCGTATATACCGTAATCCACCGTATAGTTTAAGTGACTGAATTACGAAAATAGACAATCTTACAAATTTTTCGCTTTTCCAACCTAAATAAAGAAACCGCGCAGTTAAGAAGAACCGCAGTTTCCAAAAAGCCCACGTTACCAAAAACTATTTTTTTGAAAGCATTTGTTACTTATCAAAACAAATCTTAATGCGAAAAAACTATAAGTTATAAATACGCGTTTTATGGCAAACGAATTAATAATCAAAATAATAACCCTTCATCAAAGTTATATTGAGGAAGGCAATCAGCAGGTTGGTCCTGCGTGGCCGAGTGAACGCCTGTGCCGAGCGTGCAGTTGTTTCCATCAAACCGAATAAGGCAATATTTTAGTTAATCAGCAAGTATGAAAACAGATTAATGTAAACATTACCACAAATAAATACCGGTATTTATGACAGGCTTAATAAATACCCCTGATTATTCCCATGAATAAGAAGGGCCCTCTAAACCATTTATACACGTCAGCAGAAGATGGTTGATTATACCTATGACATGTGCACAATATTAAAGCAGTCTTGCACGGTTACCGTTAAGTCTTTGCGCAACGATTGGTTGTGAATTTTATACATCACTCTTCACACATCATTAATCGGCCATCGCATATCATAAATCATTCTGCAATCACTAATCCCTGACCTACGTCAATCACATCATTTCGAATGCATCATCCCGTGAAATGCAGCAAATGTCCTCACATGTTCAGTAGTTCACTTATAATTCAGGCAGGAATAGCATTATAACGATTATTTATTGAATCCTAAATATGTATAATAAATAAATTGTTGTTACTTATAACTTATACTGTAACTGAAGCAAATTTAATCAACGTCTAATACATGGATTAAACCACGTTGATAAATACTCGGATAAAAAACTGGGATCAGGAGAAAAAAAAATTACGCTACACATGAAAAAATATCTTTTGTTTCTGGAGTGCAAGACACAATGCTAGGGAAAAACTCGTGAAGAATTACAAAAATAAGCAGATATTTTCCAAATTAATCTTTTATTACTTGGAAAGACATATAAATCACCCCTAATTAATGACCTGGACTTGAAAGAGAACGTTGTCATTCGGTTAGAGGGAAAAAATTTGAACGTAATTCGAGAGAAAAGACGTTTTTTATACACTAAAAATAATGAAATAGTAACTGGTGTAGACACAAATTCAATTAATTACCGCTATGAATATTTAACGCGATGAAAAACTTAGAAATATTAGGAACCGTGATCCGTGAAATCTTACGATAGACAAATTTTGTAGCATTTATCTGACGACAAATTAATAAACAAATTTACGCATTACGAATTAGATTATTGTTTAAAAAATTTGCGTAAGTTTGTCGCACCGCTCGCACCTTTTGATGAGCGTGCAAATAATCGCTATTACGAGTACCGGGACGAGTGTTGTGAACAAGTGAAACGGAAACAAAAATGTGTCACGCAATGAGAAATGTTGTGAAGGTTAGAGTGGAGGATAAAATATGAATGAATCAATATAAAAAGTTAAAAAAGAGAAATTCTTTACACATGATATTTTCTGCTAATAATGATTATATGAGAAGAAGTTTAGCGACAAAATTGGGGAGACGGAAGAGATATTGCACACGGCCTATAGAGGGCGAGACGTACAAAGTGAGCGCTGGCGAGACAAAACTTGACATTATCCTATTACTTAATTAAAACTTATACAAAATCAGAAAAAAATATGATACTTAAGTTAGTCAGCCATCGCGTGGCCACCGATTAGTCAACCATAATTCCACTTAGCACAGTGGAAATTATATGTGTACAATTTTTCCAATATCTAATAACGGCATCTTTTTTCCGAAAATTGAATAATAATAATTCCTAACCACCTACCATTGTGATGGATTAACGACTGAAGAGGTCTGCGCTGAGAATAGTTGAATAGTTAACAAAAATATAAATTATTAATGCCCCCGTAGGGCTTTTACAATGAAGGAAGGAACTACTGCAAATGCTTTTACAATGAAGCAAAATTCGAATTGATAGAAACACTAAGAACATAATCAACGAAATGAATCGTCTTTAACAGTGTGAGAACATAGCGCGGCATAATGTCCAATCAATAACCACGCCCCATCACAGCATTCACTGCTACTAACAAGGCTCTACATAACATTCATTTAAGGCTTAAAAACTCATTTATCTATATTATCTTTAGAACACGAAGGCTAAGATTTATTGTCATTTATTAGGAGATCAAGGTTAGTTTTGTACCATTGTTAAGTTTAAGTTGAACATTTACCGAGTAAAGTTCAAGTTGAACCAGACGTCGAAGTCAGTAAAGGTTCAAACAAGGTACTAACCTATTGGAAAAAATCATCGGCAGATGATCGGTCTTAACCATCACCAGGTCACTGACATGGTAAGCAAGACTCGTATTAGGGTACACTTAACGCATAATAATATTAATGAATTGTTTGATAGGAACTGGTACAAAAATACAATGCCAACCTTTGCTTGCCATTACAAAAAAGTTACCAGAGAAAGTTACACATCACTTAAGTTATAAGTATTGACATCTCTGATATTTAGCCCCATCTTTTTCACTTGGGTAAAACATACTCCTAGTATTGGAAGGATAACCTTTCAGATTAAACTTATTCAGGTAAGTAGCTTGAGCTCATGACTGAGCATAGGTCTTAATTGTGCACGTTCTCGTACACAATTCATGGACATTAACATTAATAATAAAAAAACATCTTGTTCAGTTTTTAGAAGACAATCCAAAGTGGACAAGTTTTGCTTTTTTTGATGATCATTTCACATTGTGGACATTCCGGTCCCCTTTCTTTCAGCAAAATTAACGATAAAATAACATCAACGGTTAATTCATAGCCAAAAGTTCAAATAAACTCGAGAAGGTGGCACTCGTTTGTAGTGCTTAACTCCTGATAACTGCAGGAAAACTGACTATATTGAAAAATTAACTGCAAGGGATTATCGGAAAAAGAAACAAGAAATATGTCAGCTTCGCGGCCTCACGAGTTTGTTAATGAATAATTCCACGCTACGACCAGCCTCGAAAAGTTAGTGTACAAAGTTATCGTGGTATTCAACATAAGTTTTGCTCAAAGTTTTCCTGATAAAGTCACGGATGCTACCTAATCGAGGTTCAAAATTTATTGAAGCCAAGCTCCAAATATCATCGGCGAGACTTGACTTGAAGGCGAAAAAGAACAACATGATGGCGAGACATTCAGAATTGAGAAAATGAAAGAGCAAATATCGAAATGAGTCACAGAGATGTTTTGAAAGAAATTGATGCAAGTATCGAGTCAATGAATGGGTGAAGTGAGTCAATTGATGAATGTTGGTAGAAGTTTATATAGCCTGAGGTGTGGGGCTATACGCATCACTCACACACGGACTTACGATCACGAGTCCAGATGCCCGACAGCTAACCTTAATTAAACTTGAAATCTCTGTTCATCGCTCGAGTTAATTTTGCTCTCTCATTTTGAGACTTGTTAAACTGGACGATCTCTCACATTGGCGACTTGATCTTTATTTTGATGTCGGCTTGATCGTTCCCAATGAAAATTTTACATAGATTTACCTACAACAAACATCATCGGCGAATTACGCGCGGCCAACCGACGGACAACCACTGGTTGGCCGTCGATTACCTTCCCAAACTTGCAAGCGCGTCCCTACAGCGTCAGGAAGAATGGGCTAATTGTGACCCTTCTTCCTAGATACGAATGTCCAACTGAGTCACTAATTAGAGTCAGGTAAATTCGACCCTTTCTTTCGATGGATGACAATCTGGTGTATGTCATCCATAGTCAGGCGTGGGATGCTAATACAAGTTTGAAGAAATCATAAGATAACAGTTTTCTTCAGTAATAAGACGAATGAATTGACATGAATGTTAAATCGATAACTTTGCACAAAGGTTGCCACGAAACTACTACATATTTCGGTGAGTAACTTATCCAAAATTAAGTTTCCATAGCATGTGTTTCATTGTCACACCGTCGACCAGCTGGGAGCTTGAGGAGGAGGCTGGGGTTGCTGGCTGGCTCACTTCAACGTCAAGCCTGCGCTCTCTCATTAGCATATTTGTGTTCGATTACGCTTGTCCTGCACAAGTTCATTTCATTTCTGAAGAAAACTTTTAGCTAAAGATCTTTTCAAATTTATATTAGCTTCCCACGCATGACTGTAAGACGTACACCCTAAAGTCATCCATCGAATAAAAGGTCCAATTTATCCGACTCTAATTAGTGACTCAGTTGGACATTCGAATCATGTGTTTAGTTGGGTAGTTAGTTCATGATGATAGATAATGTGCTGTCACTAAAATTTCAAACTGCTGTATTGCCAAATCGACAGGTAAAAAATCATTAAGCAGTAAAATCGACAAATTAAGGAACCATGAAGCCACCAAATCCACAATTCAACAAAACATCAAGCTGTCAAATCAAAAAGTTGCCAAAACATCAAGCCGTCAAATCTACAAGTCGAGAATTCTACAAGCCACCTAATCATCAAGCCGCCAAATTCAAAAGCCAGTTACCAATTTATCAAGCCGTCACTAATGACGAAGATTTGTGATTAGTCATTAATGATCGAAATCATTTAATGATCGAAGATTTGTGTTTACACACCGTCAAATCGACAAGTTACCAAATCAACAAGCCGTCAAATCGATGTTATCAAATCGAATGGACGTTCAAAAATTTACGAACAAACAGAATATTTTTGCAACGGACTTTCCTCATGCCTGCATTGCGGGCAAATTTGTAGGTGGGAGTGAGACTACTTTCCTGACCTCGGCACTGTGGGAAAGGCACTGGCCCGAAGCAGTCATGGTTCATAGCCCATCCCTTTAACGCAGCAGTCATGGGTCACGACCCATCCCCTGTAACTTGACCTCCGTCAAACTCTGGCTGCGCTTCCGCTGCTCTCGACGAACTCTTTGCATCTCGAGGAATGCAGTTCATCTGCGAGATGCTCGCTCAGGGCGAAAACAATGTTGCCTTCAACCGAGCACATGCATTTACCTCAGTCAGGTAAGTGCACTTACCTCTTACCTCGGACAGGTAAGTGCACTTACCTCAGTCAGGTAAGTGCACTTACCTCTTACCTCAGTCAGGTAAGTGCACTTACCTCTTACCTCGGTCAGGCAAGTGCACTTACCTCAGTCAGGCACGTGCTCTTAATTCAGATAGGCCCGCAAAATTACTTCAGTCAGACACGACCGCTCTTTCTATCAGTTATATGGTAATTTTCATAATTTTTTTACGTAATAATATCCATATTGTACAAGAGTTTACTGTTTTTTTCTGTAATTCGAGACACGAAGGTTTAGCTTTCAGTCTAAAATTTAGTCTAACGTTCAGCGAATGATTAAACGTATCTCGTGAACTGGACACGTTTACCTTGGTTGTATTCAGCAAAAAAAATAGAGCACGTGTACCAAATTTATGGGACGTTGAATGATTTATACGATATAGATAATCATTTAACTAGGCAAGTCCCATTTGTCACTTGCTGACACGCATTATTGAAGGAATTTTCTTAAAACTTTAATTTGAACACAGTCGCCAATTCATAATGACAATCAATCCTATATATTCTGAAAAAAGCACGCATTCTGCATCTTTTTAATTCATGTAGCTTCTTTCATCAAAGATCACATATGAAGTCGCGGTCATCCTGAAAGTTACGTATATTGTTTATAAGTAGCCACGTATCTCTCTCGAAGATCACTTATCTTGTTCATTTAAAGCTCACGGATCTCGCTCCCTCGTATCTCGCTTGGCTACGCTTAATACAGTTCCTACAGTGGCCAGTCAGTAGCTCTGTTTATGAAAGTTTTACTCAGTCCTTAATGCAATAGTTTGGCTCTATTTTATGTGTATTGTTATCGATTCTTCCTTTAATGCATTTTTGGTAATTAAAAAACCCCGATTCACTTATCGATACAAGATAAATGGATAAAAACTTGAATACTCGTTGGTTTCACAATCAAAGTTGAAACTCAGAGCGATGTAATAATGAGTGATTTAACTAGAGTTTTTCAATGTTTATTAATTTAATGTCAAAAATGTAACTGATAAATTAACTGCCATCGGCAAGCATTAATCACCAAAATGTTTCGTTGAGGAGTGCAACGTTTCCACGAAAAGCAAATACTCCATGTCACATACTGGCATTATGAGTTAATATTAAAATATTTACACAATAAGTTTCGTCAGAGGAAATTATCTCAATACTGCCAATCGCATTTCCGGGGAAACAGATGGTTAATAGATCAAGATTTGATTTTTCCATTGACTATAAGGGAATGCATTCCTCCTCCTTACTATAAGAGCAAGCACGTTGTTGTTGTTATGCCGAACAGCGAGTCATGGGAACTAGTTACCAACCGCAACACCGGCACACAAATTCTTCCGCGCAGCACTCGTTTCTAGCGCGGAAGTAAACACGACTGTAACGGTTGTGTTTACATACCGACGGTGTGTGAGATTATGTATGTCAGTGACATGCGAGACCGACCTACTCACTCAAAGCTTCACTTCAAAGTCGAGCCGAATATCGGACTAGATCTTCCGAAGTGAGATTAACGGTCGCGTTCTGCATTGAATGGAGCAGGTAGTGCACTTGGAGCCCGACCTAATCAAGGGCATTGTTCCCTTTAATACACAGTTGAATTTTGCTGCGAGTTTGCATAGCTTGGAAGCTCCCAAGCGTGAGTCTAGGCATTAGCGTTAAGACTCCAAGAAAACAACAAATTAAATAATAAACTGAATAACTTATCAACCTCGCTAGTCTGCAAGAAATGGTAAACGAAAAACAATCAAATGTGCCACCAGTCATACGAGCATTCATGAATGACTAACAAGCAATGAAACTAAACAGTCGAACATGATGCAACTTCAAATTTTTGGGATAAGTACGCTAACTAATGAAGAAGTAACCAAACCATGGACGGACTAACCAAGCTACCAAACAGTTGCAATCAAATCACCAAACAGTGCAACCAAGTCTGGTAAAGAGCTTTACCAATTTTTCGTTCATTTAAACGTACTATTGTACGTCAATGATTCTCACTAATAATGGGTTGTACTTCCATGAAGTCTGTCCCGTGAGACAGGTTGTGAAGATTAATAATTCTGCCTTCCGAAATTTTTTCCGTCGTATTGACCCTAAGTCTGCCTGGGACAGAATTGTTATTGTTTAACGCAAGTGGCAGTTGAATGCGCCACGAATGAAAGTAAGAGTGCGCAAACGTTAAGGAAAATATACATAATATGATTGGACATTGAGCCAAGTTGCTACGTTGACACCGAGTGATTTTTGCAATATTTGTTGAACGTAAGCGCAGTGTGAACCGAATTTAGATTAGCATGATGGACTTATTTTATCTCGAATATTAATAATATTTGAGAGCGTTTCGAAGAACTTTGCCGAGGGCAAAGTTTGAGAAAGAATTTATGAAGATAATCTGCACTACTCGTGGTATCACAGATTGTAACGTGAGCACTGAGCACAGACTTGACGTGGTTAACCTATAGCTTAAACCTGTTGTCATCTGGCTTACGTAAGCTGAGATCCTCAGGCTCGGTCTGCTCAGGAATCTTCAACAGTTCTGTCTTGTACTCCTCTGGCATCAAGGAGGCCGTGACAGTCATGTGAATGGACTTGGACCTCAAGTTCTTCGGTGATGAGCCTGGCGTACTGCTACTGCTGGGTGGACTGGAAGACCCGAGACTTGTTGATTGAGGGACGTAGTTTCCCATGAAATCTGGCGATGTGGAAGATCTCGGAGACACGGAGGTGGATGCAGCATGGCACGCGTGCTTCTTCAAGATGTCGGAACTGCCGAACGAAAGGTGGCAGAGATCGCATTCGAAACTTGATGACACCTCAACACTGTTATTGAAGTTATTTTCGTACGAGTATTCGTCATTATTGTTCAAGGGTTCATATTGCGGGGAGTTGAACGTAGGGTTAGCGGGATGCATTGTGTGGTGTCCATGAGACTGCCTGTGGGACTTCAGTTGATTCGTGTCAGAAAAAGTAGCTTGGCAGTCGAAGCAGGAGAAAGGCCTTTCGCCGGTGTGAACCCTAACATGGCGTCGAAGATTTGCAACTTGTACGAACTGTCGTGCACAATAGCTGCATGTGTAGGGTCGTTCCCCAGTATGCAGCCTCATGTGGGTCTTGAGGTGGTGATCTCTAGTAAAGCGTTTGTCGCATTTCGTGCAGTGGAATGGCTTCTCGCCAGTGTGTGTTCTCTCGTGGTTTTGAAGCACGTGTTTGTACCCAAAACTGCGGTTACATAAGGAGCATGTGAACAGTTTATCGGGTTTGTGTGTGTTCTTCTTCGTAGGGTTGGTGATCGTTGGCACTGCCGGGGACACAGTGGGTGGTGGAACGACTGGCTTAGGTGGTTCGACCATTTGGAATTTAGATTTCTTGTTACGCCGCGGTGGAGTGAGCATTTCAGTAGTTTTTTTAGATGAACTTTTTAATAAATTAGAAGGTGGTGGTGGGTAGGCTGGTGCTGCAGCAGGTTCATGTGTTCTGTTCTGGTTTTGACTAAGGATAATTGAGAGCAGATCGGCCGGCGGAAGTGCGTAATTTATTGCACTTTGCTGTAAGGCTTGCATTTGTGTAATCTGCTGGAGAATGGATGCATGTCGAAAAAAGTTCAGGGTGTCGGTGTGTACCCCCGGGAAAAAGGGCATCACAGGGGGAGTCATCACAGCCCCAGCGTAGGGGTAGAGGGGGTATTTCAAGCCCACTTCAATTCGGTCGTCCTCCGCAGAAGCGTTCCGGAGACCTGCAACAACAAATCCTCGTTAACATTTAGCGTCTTGGAGGCCTGCAACAAGTTATCATTCTTATCGTTAAGCGCTCCGCAAACCTGCAACAAGAAATCATTATTATCATTTAACAATCGAAAAACGAAAGTGACGGTATATACATATGAATTACAATAACTATCATTGGTAACTAGAAGTTGCTTGGATGGATAATACTTGTGCCTTGAGAATCCAGATATCCCGTATACGGTTATTTATTTTCAAACTAGAGAAATGTGAATGATATAACCCACTGTTTAACCTGCATTCAATAGAGAAATCCCATATAATAATCAAATCGAGATAAAAAAATCAAATTTCGCATTTTCGGTATATAATTAAATTGACTAAGTTGCAAATGTAACTCGCTTCTGCAACGTCTCAATACTCCGAGAGTAGAACGGAAAGCAGCACGTAATATCCCGGTAGGCAAGTGTTCCAGTAGGTACTATATATTTAGGGTGCCTCACATCGTTAATCCAGGTCAACAACAAACATGCACGAACAAACGTTGTCCATATATCATGTGATGAAATTATAATGATCGGATGATGACGGGGCGCGTCTTATAGTGATTCAATTGTAAAGCTACAATTGCTATAACATTTAACTAAATAGTGCTTACCAATGCGAGGAGAATCTTTCGCTATAAATATGTTATTAGGGTAGACGTCAAATTAATGCTGGTAAAAATATCAATTTAAATTGAACCAAGTTGCAAAAAATATAGAAATCACAAAAAATAACTGCGCAGGGATTAAATTAAGGTCAATTAAAAATTAATTAATGGTCAATAACTCCATGTGAGTAATTATATGGATGGAATATTATGGGAATATAAAATAAATTACAGCATTATTACATGAGTGAGGTCATTCATGCGAAAATTTAGTTTCATATGAACTCATTGATCATATTTATGCGTAGTAACGCAACATTAGACACCACATTAATTTCAATTAATTGCGATAAGTAAGCGAATTACAGTAAATAAATAAACAAAAACTAAACGATTTAATTGATAATTTCTGTAAAAAATTTGAGCAGATTCAATAGATTTATGAGTAGATTTTTACCAACACAGTAAAGGTTCATTCTGTATCGATGCTTGTGCCAGATTAGTCGAGTGCTTAGAGTGCTTAGTTAAATTTTAAAAGGCAAGTCGATATTGAAGTTAAAGTTCAGGTATATAATATAATACGTGAATTCCCTGCTTGATTCATTTTCTCAAATAACTGCTGAGTATTTATGTAAATTTATTCAGGCTAATATATACATTTTTAAACGAGCCTATTTGCGAGATATATACCTATATCGAGCCCATACTTAGCCGGCTAAAATCCGACCATAACACTTCTCACTAGATGCCTTCTCTCCGTCGATATCAAATTGCCTGGATAAAATAAAAATTTGGGGTAAAATATTAAATTTTTAAGTATGGTTGGAGGTTTAAAATCTACATATATTAAACATTGTGCAAACGGAACTTCAATAAGCGTAGTATGATGAAGCGCGGTAAGAAATGAAAACAAAAAAAAAAAATTGAAGACCAAAAGACCTTGTTACGAAACGGTAGCGAGATGACATCGTCTAATAAAACGCTACTGATTTCCGATGACCAATCTCTCCGTTTTTATCATAACCTGAATGTTTGTTCACAGCCAAATATGGGGGAGCTTGTTTCGTCTTCCAGTCTACGTTAATGTGTGAATCATTTTAGATTTATTTAGAAGAAGTTCTACCTCTTTCTTAGCGAAGACAAATAAATATATATTAACTTTAGAAATGATTATATTTCGACATTTCACTCAACATCTCAATAACTATTAAAACAATCATCATATTACATGATGAATCACCTAAGACAGGCTGCAATATACCGACAAATTATTTAAGCAAGTAATGCTTCTTCAGAAACCTGAGTTTTGCTGCAGCATCTCAGGTGCAGGCTTTCTTCAGGCCGCTTCTTTTTTCCTTTTTCCGTAACAGTATTTCTTTCTTCCCCCTTTCCTTCTCCCCTAACACCCATTTTCCCTCACACCAACCTCCCCTTATTCCCCTAGAGCCCTGCAGTTGAGCCCAGCAATCCGAAGATGCTCTGAAAAACGCCTAATTTTTGTACCAAAAAGAACCACTCGGAAACCCAGCCTCTTCATAAACCTACGAAAAAGAAAATTTATTTTTAAAATATTTCGCAGTTGCTTAGTTGAACTATGAAAATAACGCAGCCTTCTCGAAACAGACGAACAGAATAATCACGAGAAACGAGAAAATTTACCGTCATTTATCCGACGCTCGACGGCAGCTCGACGACTTGCAAACTGAGGGCGAAGCTTCCCTGCAAATCAGTGAGTTTAAAGGCCTGTTGAAAATCGATATTTTTTGCATAGGTCGATCGATAGTTTTTGCATTGCCATTAAAAGATTGAAAGTTTTTCTTGCCAGCCTCCTTGCCCTCTTCTGCATTTCCATGACATTACTGATGCACCCTGATGTGTGCTGTGCGCGTGTAGTGTGCAGAACTAACAGGCCTCTGAGCATTGCCGTGCGCGTGTAGAGTGTGCAGAACGAGCAGGCCTCTGTGCATTGCCGTACGCGTGTAGAGTGTGCAGAACTAGCAGGCCTCTGTGCATTGCCGTACGCGTGTAGAGTGTGTAGAACGAATAGGCCTCTGTGCATTGCCGTACGCGTGTAGAGTGTGCAGAACTAGCAGGCCTCTGTGCATTGCCGTACGCGTGTAGAGTGTGCAGAACGAGCAGGTCTTTGTGCTTTGCCGTGCGCGAGTATATAGAGTGTGTAGAGAGAGCAGGCCTTTGTACATTGCCGTTTGCGTGTAGAGTGTGTATAGAGAGAGCAGACCTCTGAGTATTGTCATGCGCGTGTAGAGAGTGTAGATCGGACAGGCCTCTGTGTATTTCTGTACGCGTGTGAAGTGTGTAGATTGGACAGGTCCCTGTCTGTATAAGTGTGCAAGTCTTTCTGTATTATACAAGTACGCAAAAAACTTTGTATTCTTATCAATAAACTACGACGCATTATGCAAACATAACACGATATATACAATAAAGCCACATGTGATCACTGAACACATGTTAAGAAGACATGAAGGTTACAGCTCGGCAACATGAAACTCTCTTTTGTATAATGCAATCAATCAGGAGCGGCAAACCAGGTAGGCCGCTGCTTCGCCCTTTCCTTAGGTAGGCCTATAGGACGGGCGGCCTAAGCTGACCTTTTCTTCAATTGGCTCGAGTCACACGTCATCAACAACAGCAGCAGCAGGAGCAATAATAGCAGCAGCGACTTCAACAACAGCAACAGAATCAGTAACAACAGTAGCAGCCTCATCATCAACAACGACTGCAATAACAGCCGTAGCAGCAGAAAAAACGGCAGACACAGCAGCAGTAACAATAGCAGCGCAACAACAGTAACAATAGCAGCACAGCAGCTCTAATATAGCAGCAGCATCAACCGCTGAAACAGCAACAGCAGCAGCAGCAGAAACAACAGCAGTAACAGCAGCAAAAACAACACAAGACTTCGAGCATGTACAAGTTTCTGCACTTGTCAACTGCTCACACTAACAACTCTCTAAATCTCAGTACTTATAATCAATAATTTCAAGTCGCTTAATGCTAAATTGGCTCTCATTTGACCGGCCCTCAAGCAGCTCTCATTTGGCCGGCTCTCAAGACACTCTCAAGTCCCGGTCTGACGCAGCGTATGTCCGTAATTACGCAGTCTGCGCTCGAACGCTCGAGAACAACGTCGCACTTTTGACCACTAATCTATGGGACGGACAAAATTAGTCTAGTTTGTACATTCTTTACGAGTGAAAAAAATCTTAATTTAAAGCATTACTGTACAAATGAAAAAAAAGATGCAGGTAAGTGCATATTTAGGCACTGGATTTATCTTTAGAGCGCAATTGGTAACGATCTATACCGCTATCTCTATTAATTTAACAGATATGCAATCACATTCAAATATGCGTCTTATATGCTTATTTGAATGAATGGAATACAAAGTGAATGTGTTCCTTACACGTTCAACTGATTTGAGCGATTTGCATCACTAAAATTTAAATTATAACAATTTTGAAAGAATATTATGAATAATTGAGTTATGAATAGTATGAATGAACGAGATGCTTTTGATGGATGAAGGATGACTGGTAGAAGAATTGAATGATTGTAAACTGACAGAAGGAGGAAAGATTGTGAACTGACAGAAGGAGGAAGGAAGGATTGTGAACTGACAGAAGGAGGAAGGAAGGATTGTGAACTGACAGAAGGAGGAAGGAAGGATTGTGAACTGACGGAAGGAGGAAGGAAGGATTGTGAACTGGCGGAAGGAGGAAGGAAGGATTGTGAACTGACAGAATGAGGGAGGAAGGATTGTGAAGCGAAAGAATCAAAGTAAAATTTATAGCGCCGAAAAAAGTAGGAAAATATTGGAAAAAATTACACGGGGATGAGAGGAGGAGAGAGGGCAGGTGAGGGGGTTGAAGGGGACGAGGGATGGATGAGGGGGGATGAGTGGGATGAGGGGGATGAGGGAGATCGCGACGGCAAGACCGTGCAGTGTTGCCAGATCGATATGAGTGCACGCGTGCAGACGCGGCCTCAAAACTCGCGGAAATTTTCTCCGGCGGCAGAGAGGGGGTGGGGAGGAGTGAGGGGGAGTGGGAGAGTGAAGGGAGTGAGAGGGAGTGACAGGTGGGAATAAGGAGTAAAGGAAGTGTGAGGAATGAGGAGTGTGATAAATGAGGGCAGTGTGGTGAGTGAGGGGAGAGTGGGGAATAAGAGGAGAGTGGGGAATGAGGGGAGAGTGGGGAGAGTGAGAAATGTAGGGAGAGTGGGGAGTGGGGGAGAGTGAGTGGAGAGAGCGTGAGGGAAGAGTGGGGAGTGAGGGGAGAGTGGGGAGTGAAGGGAGAGTGGGGAGTGAAGGGAGAGTGGAGAGAGTGGGGAGTGAAG